GAGGCCAGGGCGGGGGAAGGGGCGGGCGGGCAGGGCCTACTACCTTCGCTGGTGACGCCCTTGGGCTCCTCCGTGTCATTCCCCTGAGAAAGCAGAAGGAGGAGGAGGTTAGCCACAGTCGTCTGGGGGCAGGCGGAGTGGGCCCAGGACCTGAACCTTGTCCCCACTCTTCCCCGAGCTGCAGCCCTGGGTGTCACCTGACTGCTCTGAGCCTCAGTTTCCCGCTTGGTAGAACTGGTTGTCGGGAAGCTAAAATGGAATATCAGACTGCCAAGCCCAGGCTGTGGGGCCCAGCGGGTCCACAATAAACACCAGTTCCTTTTCTTCCGGTGTGTAGATGGTGAACCCACTTGCCCTTGTGGCGGGAAGGGCCCCAGAGATGGAGGCCACGTGTGCTAAAGTTGGGAGTGGGGGGGTGCCTCCTGCTACCACCAGGCACGGACCCCCGCGTGACCTCGGGCGGAAACACCGTCTTGGCCGCTGGCAGAAGGCAGCCTCTGGGCCTGGGAGCGTCCAGGCCCTTGGTCCTTGGTGCCCAAAGGTGAGGTGGCAGGTGCAGGGGGAGGGGCCCTGGACAGGAGAGCCGAGGCTGGCCGCCCTTGCCGCTCCCTGGGGGCCGCGGGGCTCTGCAGACGGTCTGGGCCCCTGCCTCCTCCTAGGCTCGGCACCCCTCAGGGCTGCTCATCAGCTTCCTGGTCTGGAAGATGGCGCCGCTGGTGGAGCTTCTCAGAGGCACCGGAGGGAGGGCCCCCCGAGCTGGTGCAGGCGCAGGGCTCACCACTGTGACGGCTTCCCTCAGCCCATCCTGCCTTTCCTGTCTCGGGTTGAGGCTCCTGGGGCCCGCGGTGACAGCACTCTCAGGAAAGGCTTGGCCCCAGCAGCTGTGAGGCGGAGGCCTCTGAGGAGAGTGCCTGGGAGAGGGCGGGCGGCTGGCAGGAGGTGTCCCACATTGGCGCTCCCCTCCTCACCAGCTGCTCACCTGCCCCTGTGACCAGTCACTTCCTCATGAGCCCGCTGTTGGTGGGTGGGGAGGAATGTGTCCCAGCCTCTGCTTCTGGGCGGGGCGAGGCCAACTTACCACGTCAGTGGACAGCCACTGCTCGATGTCCTCCATGAGGCAGGCCTGGGTGACGGGGATCTGGAAGGAAGGGCAGGGGTGGGGTGGTGAGGGCAGTGCATGGGGTGTGAAGGTGGAAGGCCCCATCAGCTGGGGGTCTGCTGGCTGGGCGGCCTGTGGCTGTCACCCTCACCCCTGAGTCTCTTCATTTACGAAGTGGGGCCAGTTGGACATGCCCCACCCCCTTCTGGGGGGTTGAGATCCTGGTATATCCCCTTCAAGATGGCTCCTGCCCGTCTGCTTAGGACCCACAATTCTGCCCACTGTGCCAGGCTGTGCGCAAGGGGATGCGGGGCCGGGCGCTAGGCAGGGGGTCAGGGAGGGGGCTCCTAACAGCTGGAACCTGAGGAAGAACGGATCTCCCCACTACTCACAGGGACTTTCGTTTTGGGCCACAAAGACATGGGCTCTGCCACAAGGGTCCTGCACTGGGGCTGGGGGCTTCCTTCTACAGTGTGAGGACCCAGTTGGAGGCTTTGGGGACAGAGTCCGAGACTGCCCTTTCATACAGCGTGGCTTGGGCAGGTCACTTGTCTGACCTCGCTTCTCTCACCTTTAGAGGAGGGAGCACACGGTCCCTACCGTCCAGGCTGCTGTGAGGGGACAGGAGGTGATGGGTAGGAGTCTGGCACAGAGCAGACGCTCAAGAAAGGCTAGTGACCGCTTTGTTACTTTGGGAAAGAGAGTGAGAGTGACAGTCCTTCTCCAACCCAGCCAGTTCGGTCCCCAAGCTCTGTCCCCAGCACCTGAGAACCCCGGTGGCGGCAGAAGCGCCCAGAGCAGAGAGAGCAGGTGCCTACTTCCCGGAAGCAACAGCAAGGGCTCTGGGCAGCGTGCACCTGTCCCTCTCTACCCAGCCCAGAACCAGCGAGCCCCGGTCACCTCCCAGCTGCCAGAGGGGCCACCCCTCTGTCAGACGTTTAACCCAATGAGCCACCCAGGCTCCCCGAGCAGCTTCCATTTTGTAAGGTAATTCTTGATTTCAGCTCAGGTCAGGATTGTCACAGTCACGGTCTGTCACAGTCTGGCAGCTGGGGCTCATTCGGTTAAACTGTCCTGTGACAGTCCCACCCCGGGCGGGACTCCTGCCAGTGGCAGCCTCCGCTCTCTGGGCCAGCCTGGCCTCTCCTCACCATGCCTTGTCTCATCATCCAGTCACTGAGGCTCTTCTCAAGGCTGCCTCCCATCTGGGTGAGAAAGGGTCAGGCTGAGGGTGGCGGGAAGGCCAGGGCCACTGGTATGCTGGCAGCTTTCTCCAATGTGGACGCCCCTTTCAGGTCGGGAGTCCCGTTACCACCTTAGGAGGCTGTGTGTGTGTGTGTGTGTGTGTGTGTGTGTGTGTGTGTGTGCGCGTGGCTGTGGAGGCTGGTGCTGTGGGGGCAGGTGAGGGGGGACAGGAAGCAGTGGAGGGTGTCTCACTGGGATGAACCACAACAGCCCTGGGACCCCAGGGTCCTGAATGCACCGGGCAAGTCTCCTCCTTTTCCACAACGAGCCTGGGAGCGGCCCGGGCAATCCCGGAAGGGCTGAGAAGGCAGCCATTAACCAGTGTGCTGGCCGCTAGGGGCTCTGATGGGTACCCCAGGATTAGAACGTTGGTTTGCCCAGTCCCCTCATGTTTACTGATGGGACAATCAGTGTTCCCTAGGGCCCCAGAGATGAGGAGACTAGAGTCCCGGCTCCCAGCTCGCCGGCCCCCAACTGCCTCCCCCACCCTGGACAGACCCGGCACAGGGCCCGGGGCACGCTGTCCGGCAGCCGCAGTCACGGGACTTGTGAACCCCGGGGGCAAACACCGGCTGCCAGGACAGCTGGCACTTCCCGTCCCGACAGCTTAACGGGAGGAAGCCTCCCCACCACCCGGCCAGACTCATGCACCTCGGGAGCAGGTGTTTACGGACAGTTGTAAGAACATCACACCCTGACGCGGGCAGAAGCTGCTTCAATCTCTCAAGTGATCAGAGAGGAATAAACAATGATTTACCAACTTCCTCTTTCCTGCAAGTAGAGGTGTGTGTGTATTTCCTCCCTGTGGCTGACTGAAGGTGGTGTAGGAGCCGGGAGACCTGGGTTCTAGTTCCTGTCATGCCCGGGGTTGCTCCGAGCCCCGGGGCGGGGACACCTGTCTCTGGGCTGCAGTCCTTCATCTGCAACCGGAAGGGGTGCCCGTGCAGTTCGCCTCTGCCCACGAGGGGTCAGGTGGCCTGAGAGGGAAGTGCTTCCGGACGGCTCCCAGAGCCTTCGGATGCATCTGGAATCTGGAAGCCAGATTTTCTGGAGTGTCCACCTCCGTTCCTTAGAGCTGTGCAGGCCATCTGGGGCTCCCGCTCCCGGCACTGGCTATGGAGCCAGGACTGAGGACTGTGAGGTGTCGAGCAAACTACCTCACAATGCTGAGCCTGGGCTTTCTCGTCCGTAAGTGGGGAAAGCCACACAGCAGCACCAGGGAGACTGAACGCTTCACTCTGTGCCAGGCATCACGCTAAGGATGTTAACCTCTGCTGCCTCACTTGCCCGGCCTCTCGATCTCAGTTTTCTCATCTGTAAATGGGGATAACAACATGACCTAAGGGTTTGTGTGATGGCTCAGAAAGGCGGGCTGTAGGGTGCCTGGCACAGGGCACGGCTGTGACAGATGGCCACTTACAAAGGAAAGTAGCCGGAGGCCCTGAGACGCAGGTGCAAATGTGCTGTGCTTGGTGCTGGGTCACATGGCACACACGGGAGACGTCTGACTCTCTAGCTGGTCTTGCCTCCACGGTGTTCCAGGTCTGGTTCCGCTCTGACTTGGGAATGACTCCTGAGACGCTGGGGATGCCTTTGGGGAGTCGCCAGGACCCCCCCACCCACTTGTATACTGGGCAACTTCCACTCCCTCCTAGCTGCTCTCCCAGCTTCCATGCTGGTTCCTTCTAAAATGGACAGAGAAACGTGCCCCTCTGCTCAAGCCTGGCCGTGGCCTCCACCTCACACGGTCCTCCTGGCTACCCGAGGCCCTCTGGTCCCTGCCGCCCCTCAGGCTTTGTCTCCTGTCGCCCAGTCCCACCTGGCCTCAGAAGCCTGTGCTGTCACCGGCCATCTCCCTTCATTGCCCCCTGCCTCTCCGACTCCTGGGCCCAGCCGTTTCTAATCACCTCCCGAGGAGCTACTCTGTCCATTTACTGAAACAGAAACTCCCCCCACCCCAAGGGCATCTAGAACAAATCCAAAGGGGTGAGAATTGTGCTTGGAGTTCCTGCCAAGGGGGAGGGGTCACCCACAGAGCGTGTGCAGTGCCGGACATGTGGCTATCACTCCATACGCCGTCAGCCAATTGGATGGAATGAAAATGGCACCCCTGGAGGCCTCCCTGAAGTTTCAGGGTATGTCCTCTTGTCCCCCCTGTCCCCACTCCTGCAAATAACAGGTCTCCAGGGAGGCGGGGAGGTACAATGCTGATGGAGCTCTAACTCTGCCGAGCCCCTTAACATGCCCTCTCGCACACCCCACTGTAAACCGTGCTACGGGTCAGCAGTCTGTCCGCGGACACGCAGCTGGGAAGCCAGGCTGCGGGACTCTGGGCTTTCTGAGTCCTTGCTCTAGCCCTTCCTTGCTGTGTGAACTTGGGCAGGTGACTTAACCTCTCGGACTGCTTCCTCAGCTGTGAAACGGGAGGTGTCACATTAGCTACAAGGGGCCAGTGACGGAACCAGATGAGGAGAGGGATGTGTCACGTTGGGGCCCAGCACATGGTGGGTGGGGGTGTGGGACCGGGGGGCAAGCATCCTCTGGCCCTCCTTCCGGACAAGGTAGCAGCAGGACCCTCTGCTTACCGCTCCAGTGTTCTGCTGCCGGGCATCCAGGGCTCCAGCCAGGCCGTCTGTTGCTTGGGGGGCTTCGTATTTCACCCTGAAATGTAGAGGCCACGACCATGAGTTCTGCCCTGTGGCACCAGGCGTGCTGACCGAGGGCGGGATGCACGGGTGGGCAGGGGCGAGCTGGACTCACATCCTGTGTGGCCCCGGGTGGTGCCTGGACAGGGGGCAGCGCAGGCCTCAGGACGGGCTCCAATTCTGCAGGCCCACCCGCCCGCCGGCCCGCCTGCCTGCAGACGGTAGACCCGGGCTTAGACGTGTGACCATGACAGGCAGCCAAGGCTGGAGAAGTGAGGGAAGGTGGCGCTGGCCAAAGGCCACGAGCAAGCTCACCAATGGCTCTCATCGGATCCGGCCAAACTCGAGGGATGAGAAACCATGCCAGTGCCCCATCCCCATGGAGAATTCCCACCTCCAGACCCTTCTTTGAACAGCTTCCTCTTTTTTTAAAATGTTCATTTTGAGAGACAGAGAGAGCGGGTGCAGGGGAGAGGCAGAGAGGGGAGGAGAGATTCCCAAGCAGGCTTCACGCTCAGCACGGAGCCCGACGTGGGGGTAGATCTCACGACTGTGACAATCCTGACCTGAGCTAAAATCAAGAATCAGACGTTTAACCGAATGAGCCACCCAGGCTCCCCGAGCAGCTTCCATTTTGTAAGGTAATAAATCGTGGTTCTGTACGAGGCTGCCTTTGGATGGAGAGTTCCATTCGCTGTCGTAGACACACGTGCAGATGGCTGGGCGGGGCGCCATCCCACATGGTGCCATCCTGCGTGGCGCCCCAGCAGGAAGCTCTCCCCTGCCCCGTCTTGGCTGTGCTGGGGGATGGGGCGCCTGGATGGCTGTTGGTTAAGCATCTGACTTTGGCTCGGGTCATGATCTCATGGCTCGTGAGTTCAAGCCCTTGCATGGGGCTCTCTGCTGTCAGTGCAGAACCCGCTTCAGATCCTCTGCCTCTCCTCTCTCTGTCCCTTTCTCTACTCTTGCACTCTCTCTCTCTCAAAAATAAAAAAAAGAAAGAAACACTAAATGTCCTGGGGGATGCCACCAGCTGGGCGGGGCAGAGAGGGCAGGGGCTGAGCACAGGGAAGGTGTTTGCTGTGTGTGAGGTGAGTCACGGGGAGTGAGAGAATAAGGCAGGAGTCAGGGGAAAGCTGTGTGGCAAAGGACTGGGGTGAGAGGGGGGTCTCTCCTGCCTGCTACAGGGGGACGTCAGAGGCGGCCTTGGGCACTCAGCCCTGATTCTTGGAAGGAGCCGCTCTTCTCAATCTGGAGCGTCAGCTGAAGGAGGTGGGGCCTCGGCACCAGCTCAGTCCAGTTCTGAGGGGAAGAAGTGAGCTGCAGAATCCCCATCACAAATGGAAAGCCCTGAAGGTCCGGTGTGGGGGGGCGGGGGGTGGTGT